CTGCGACAGTCCCAGGTAGATGGACACGGTCTCTGAGATGTAGAGGAATCGTCCTTCTTTGTTCAGAGCAAAAACAAACCCGTCCAGAGACTGAAAAAGAAGAGAAGAAAAGGAGGAATACATTAAAGAGTGCTGTTTTACTTCTATGGGGTATACAACTTTTTCACAGCGACTGGAAGTACGACCGCTGTAGGTTTGTCGAACTTCTGGTTTATGTTTTTATGTGGCAAAATGTGTGTCGTATTCTCCAGCAGCTTCATAAATCTGCCCCATCACCAAATCTTCAACCAACAAACTCCACAAAGGATCAACATTCTAACATGAACAATTTATCCACAACTATCAAGAGAAGAAAGAGCAAAACTTAAAGGAGAACAACAACGACGCATTAGAGAAATACTGAACAAAACTAATGACTAATAACATTGAGTGTGTACACATGCACATGAGTATCCTGGTTATGATCAGGTTTTTTGAGTATCCCGGTTTCTTCGTGGTGCATATAAACACAGTAACCTGGTTTCAGTGTCCTGGTTATTAGAAACCGGGATACTGTAGCTGGAATATTCCAATAGTAACTGGGATACTGTGGCATGTAAACGCAGGTACCCAGTCACTGCTACATAAAGTTGAGTGCACATGCGTCCAAAAGACAAACACTTTCCAGTCTTTTCACTGCAACAGTAGCGACATAAATAAAATGACCAACATAAATGAAGTGACTAATATAAATAAAGTGATCATACATGAGGGAAATGAGTGTAAAATAAAGAGCTGCGCTAACATGTACAATCTGCACTCGTGTGACCTGCACACGTACGATCGCTGAAAAGCCAAAACATGAACTGTCTCCAACACGATATACACACAGAACAGACTCACCATCATCAGCACCTCTTCTGTCACAAAAACAACACACATAATCCACTGAGTCATGTCCTTTAGTCCGAAAGAAGCTGAACCACATCAGCGGCACAAGGAGCAGCTGTTTTTATATCAGCACTAACAGTTTATGTAAATTAGCCATGTGGTCTTATGTTTCGTTTCTGTAAAACGTAAACAAATGTGATCAGAGCTGAATTATCTGATCAAACGGGCTGATGTGGATCTACAGTGGTTATGGTTTATATGTTGTAAAGTTAAGTTTATTTATGCAGAAGATTTTAATGAAGAATCTGTTGGGTTTGATGTGTGCAGTGGATTGTGGGAGATCTTCGTAGCTCCTCACGCTGGTTAAACCTCCCGAGCTTCCTCTGCTAAAGGAGCTCATGGTTTGTATTTTTCCTGGTTTATTAAATTGATTTAAGTTAATGTTTGCGCTTGTGCATTTATAAGATTATGCCAAGAAACCGGGATACTCCATTTGATCATTGTCACAGGGGTATGAGTGTCCCGGTTTACACAGTATCCCAAATACTGACAGAACCGGGACATGGCTAATAACCGGGATACTGATGTGCATGTATACACTCTCATGATCATGAATCAAACATAAATAACTTGTTCACTCAGACTGATTCTAGAATTAAAATTAAAAATCGATTTCATGATATTAGCATAGATAGATTTGTGCAGTTCAAATGTGAGGCATTTCGAGGACCATAACATTCATTTTGTTCAGTTTGTCACTAAAGCGTCGTCGTCGTTCTCCTTTAAGTTTTCATCTTTCTTCTCTTGATAGTTGTGGATAAATTGTTCATGTTAGAATGTTGATCCTTTGTGGAGTTTGTTGGTTGAAGATTTGGTGATGGGGCAGATTTATGAAGCTGCTGGAGAATACGACACACATTTACACACACTTACACACACATTCATATATACACAGACACAGACACACACACTGTATCACACACACACAGGTGTTCGAACACAGGTGTGTGTTACAGGTGCTGAAACTTTGGTTAAAACAGTTTTTTTTTTTTTTTCTTTTATATTTATTGTCTTGTTTTTCCTCATTGTTCTTGAAACACGCACATCTTTATTTGAATTATGGTGGACTGGAAACTTGTCTTGGTTGTGTGCGGTGGGTCAGGTTGTGTTGTTGGGGCTGGTTGTGTGCACATCTGACACACAGAGACAGGAGGACGGGAGGGCATCTGACACACAGAGACAGGAGGACGGGAGGGCATCTGACACACAGAGACAGGAGGACGGGAGGGCATCTGACACACAGAGACAGGAGGAGGACAGGACACAGCAGCTCCTCCCTCTGCTGTTCCAAGGAAACCACACGGAACCAGGAAACACTCTGCATTTGCTCAAGGGCACCTCAGCGGATTCAAACCCTCAACACACAAACTACAGGTTAGTGTTACTTTACTACTACTACTACATCTCCTCCTCCTGGTTCTTGTACTTTTACTGTAGTACTTCTTTAATGGGACTAAAGTTCAATCAGATCCTGCTGTAGATTCTGTTGTTGATTTGGTTCAGTTCAACTTTAGTTTTGCTCAAACAGACGAGAGTAAAACCTCTGCTTTACTTTCACTTTCCAACACTTCTTCACTTTTTTAGTCAGAAGTTCATGAGTTTGTGTAAGACAAATGCATTATTATTTAAGTAAGTGACCTGTAAACTCCACAGTCTGACTCTGATTAAAGAAAAGCTGCTCACTCTGTAGTTCAGACGTCTAGAACATGTCCCTGTGTGTCAGATGCTCTTATTGTGTGGAAAAGCAACAAACATGTTCTGAAACACATGAGATTCTGGATTAGTTTGGCTGTTCACCTGATCTCCTCTCACACCTTTATGCTCCTTTGAAACATGAACTTTGAACATGAACATGAATAATACGACTATAAAAACATAAACCACAGTCTCATCTCAGTGTCACAAAGATCACGATTTCACAGTTACTTTTACTCCTACTCGAGTAATATTTGTACTGAAGTAGAAGTACTGTTAGTGGAGTAAAAGTTGTGCTTCCTCTTCCCCTTGTGAGTAAGTGACAAAAGCTTCTGTGACTGAAATCTGAAATGATTTGAACATTTGTTTCTTGCGGCTCCTTCACGTCTGATTTAGTTTGTCTCATTTTTGTGTTGCTTTGAAAACTCCACATTTGGATTATTTCATGTTTTGTTCTTCACGTTACATTCACTTCAGTCAAAGCACATTTCCTTTTGCTTGTGTTTATTGCAGTGAAAAACAAGCGTTGTTTCTTTGAGCTCGCATCTCCACAGACCTGACTCTGATTACCCAGATACCACCTGATCACAAGAGTCACAACTTCAACAACAAGTGACTCTGAACAAATCAAATGTGACCTTTTCTCAACACTTGTGCTTAGAAAAGTGATGGCGATGTCATCTTCAGGACACTGTTGTGTTTTTAAGCTCAAATGACATTCTGTTGTTTTTATTGTCGTCATGGTGACTTTGAGTCTCAGCCTTTTTCTTAAATCGTGTTCGATATCAGTCACAAACAGTCTATGGTCACAACACAAACTTATTCCTCTAGTCCAGTCTTCCTCACCACATCCTCCTGAAGTCTTCCAAAATAAAAGCTCTTCACCTCTTTCCTGTCACAATAAGAGTCTTCACTTTAGTCTGAGTCACTCTTGTTGCTCTGTTTCAGACATGTCCTCCACCAGAGACCAGAGCTCTGAGGAGATGTTCCAGTGCTCCATCTGTCTGGAGGTGTTCTCTGAGCCAGTGTCCACTCCATGTGGACACAACTTCTGCCGACGCTGCATCTCTCAGGCCTGGGACACTGATGGGCCCTGCACATGTCCTGTGTGTAAAGAGATGTTCCACAGAAGACCACAGCTCAAGGTCAACACGCTCCTGAAGGAACTGCTTTCAGCGTCTAACCTGGAGAAGAACAAGAGCAGATCTATGGACTACACGCCTGACTTTAAAGAGGTGCAGTGTGACGTGTGCTCTGAGCCCAAGCTGAAGGCCCTCAAGTCCTGCCTGGTGTGTCTGTCCTCCTTCTGTGAGAGCCACCTCCAGCCTCATCTCACAGTCTCTGGGCTGAAAAGACACCAGCTGATGGAGCCTGTGGAAAACCTGGAAGACAGGATGTGTCCCACACACCAACAACCCCTGATGCTCTTCTGTGCCACTGACCAGAGATGTGTCTGTACCGTGTGTGTCCCTCTAAAGCACAAGAATCATGAGATGTTGTCTCTGGAGGAGGCGTGTGAGCGCAGGAGGTCCTCTCTGCTGCAGACTCAGGCTCAGAGCCAGCACATGGTGGAGCAGAGGAGGCAGAAGATCCTGGAGATCCAGAGGCTCCTGGAGCTGAGTGAGACAGGCTGTCAGAGAGAGGTCTGCGGGGCTGCAGGTCTTCACTGCTCTCATGCAGTCTGTTCAGAGGAGTATGGACCTCTTCTTAGAGGAGCTCCAGGAGAAGCAGAGCCGGAGCCACAGACGAGCCCAGGATCTGCTGCAGCGGCTGAAGCAGGAGATCTGTGATCTGGAGCAGAGCAGTGCTGAGGCCCAACGTCTGTCACTCTCTGAAGACCCCCTCCACTTTCTACAGCACTGCCCTGCACTCACGCCCCCTGCTGGGCTTAAGGAGTGGAGCAGCGTGAAGTTTGAGCCGGAGAAGTGTGAGGGCAGTGTGTCCCGGGCTCTGTCTGAGCTGGAGAACAGTCTGCCTCAGGAGTTTAACAAACACTTTAAAAAACTGGCGTCAGAGTCTAAGAAAGCTGAGCTGAGGAGAGCGCAGCAGAGTGCGGTGGAGGTGACTCTGGACCCAGACACGGCTCATCCTCGACTCGTTCTCTCTGAAGATCTCAAACAGGTTCATCACACTGATGTGTGGAAGAATCTCCCAAACTCTCCTCTGAGGTTTGATTATTGCGTTAGTGTTTTAGGAAAACAGAGTTTTTCTTCAGGCAGGTTTTACTTTGAGGTTCAGGTCAAAGGGAAAACACAGTGGGATTTAGGAGTGGCCCAAGAGTCCATCAACAGGAAGGGAGTGATCACTGCAGGTCCTGAACATGGACTGTGGTGCATCATCTTAAGAAACAAAGATGAGTATGACGCTTGTGTTGGCCCTTTTAAGACCCGTCTGTCTCCTCAGAGAGCTCCTCAGAAGGTCGGGGTGTTTGTGGACTATGGGGAGGGTCTGGTTTCCTTTTATGA